CCTCTCTCCGCCCAGGCACTCAGTCAGAAAACCTGGGCATCATCCTAGATACCTCCTTGTTCTTAACTTCCACCTCTATTCTATAATAAAAGAAATATCTACCATTGATTGAAAACAGGCAATAATTCATACGGTCTCTGCCATCCCAAAAACGCTGCCGTTGGTGAAGGAAGCAGCGACTAGAACTTGCACAACCGTCCGTGTGGACAGCTCCTTTCAGAAGAGGTGATTGAAACCTGACTTCCCAAACAGATGAAAGTGAGTGTCAGACTGTGGTGAGCACCAGAATTATTCATAAAGCCTGACACATCGCAAGGCAGGTACTGTAGTTGCCCCATTTGACAGATGATAAAACAGGCACACAGGGCTGGGTTCCTGGCCCAAGGTTACGTCGTAAGTGGTAGAGCTGGGGTGTGAGCTGGAGCATCTGGCCCTGTGCGTATGCCCTGCCTTGTGGGTGTGGCCAGCCTTTCCCCACAGTGCTGGCCAGGGGCCTGGGCAGGCACTCCTTATCTCCCGCTGGACCTGTATGTCTTCTGGTCTCCTGACTTGCTTCCTGCCCTTGGGCTTGCCCCACTTGGATCTGTTGTTCCAAATGCAAGGAGGAAATCTTTCTAAACTGGGAAGCTGATGTCACTCCTTCGCCAAAACCCTTCAAAGGCTCCCTGTTTTATCCTCACAGATCTCACAGATTATGAAGGAAGGCATCTGAATCCCAGCAGGCTGACTCCAGGGCTGTGCTCCCAACTCCTATCCCATACTGCCTCTCTGAGCCTCAGTTTCCTCATCAGCAAAACAGGGACAATGGTCTCCACTGTAAAGGGTTGTCAGGATCTGCACAGCATCTAACACAGGGTACCTGGCACACAGCAGGCGACTCATCCGTGGAGCTTCCATCGGAGTTATTAAAAGGAAAGGGTGGTCCGAGCTCAGTGGCTCAGTCTGTAATCCCAGCACTTCCGGAGGCCGAGGCCAGTGGGTTGCCTGAGCCCACAGGATCGAGACCAGCCCAGAAAACTTGGCTAGACCTTGTCTCTACAATAAATAAAAAATTAGCTGGGTGTGGTAGCGCGTGCCTGTAGTTCTGGCTACTTGGAAGGCTGAGGCGGAAGGATCGTTGGAGTCCAGCAGGTTGAGGCTGGGGTGGCTGTGTGCCACTGCACTCCAGCCTGGGCAACGGAATGAGACTCCAACTCAACAAAATAAAATAAAAGGAAAGGGTGGGGAGCCGAGGGGGCAGACAGGAAGAACTGGGTGCTCTGCGAGGCAAGACTGATTTCACCTGGAATAATAATACATCAGCCTTCAATGCAGGTCCTAACTTCATCTTCACAACCTCCTGAGGGACAGATTCTGCGACTCCAGGTGGGGAAGCGGGGCCGAGAAGGAGACAGACAGACTCAAGCCAGGTCCTACCTGGCTTTTCTGCATGCAGCACCCTGTGCTTCTCACCGGCCCTCCCTGCAGTCACCTGTGGTGTGTTGACTTGGAGTTTCTGCCTCTTCAGATCTCACCAGCTGAAGTCAGCTGTGGGGCAAAGCTGGGACAGGACAGGAGGGAATCGGAGACACTACTAGGAAAAAGCGAGCAGTGAAGGGGCCTGGCACTTGAGTACAAACTCCAACGACACCTTCCTCTTGTCCCATGGTCTCTGGGGACTTCCACAAAAATGACAGCCCAGGTCCATCACTGTTTCTACAACAATGAGAATATTTATTTTCTCCAGACAGTAAAAATAACACTTTTTTCTCTTTTGTAAAAGTTAAGTACCATTACATTCCATTTTCTTAAATAACAAAATCCTAAAAATATATATTAAATTGTATACAGTGCGTCACACTTCATCTTATATTTTAAAATACATGATGTTTCTATTTTATCCTCAAAGTTGCATATTAAGAGCATATTTACAAATAAAGCCTTGTCATCCAAAGTCAAAATCCCTGCTGGAAGGTGAGTCTGGATGTGGGAAGGTCTTGCTGGGCAGGAACCCACAGCTGGCAGCTCCCACACAGGCAGGGAAGGCCTCCGGCCAATGCATCTACGGACACTCCCTTTCTGGAGCAGGAGACCTACCTCTGATTTTCCTCCATGCCCACTTCTGCCTTGTTGAGTTGTTCAACTCAGAAAGACTGAAGCCTGTGAGACAGACCCACCAGGGGTCTGTAGGCAGAGGGTGAAGCCCTGACACCCCCGAGCCGTCTAGCGGGGGGGTGGGGGGGGGAAAGAGGCAGCTGTGGCTGCAAGGTTTGAAAAACACCCCACACCAGGGCAACTAAGCTGAAAGATCTGGCCAGGAGGTAGAACAGTGAGGAAGGTAAACAAAGACACCAGAGGACACAATCAAAAGGCTGAAAATTCCCAAGGTTGCAACAAAAGCAGACATCAAACACCAGACAGGAGATTTGAAACCCAACAGGGTGCCAGGTGACTGGGCTGTGGAGTGGGGAGCTGGCCCGGCTCTGTGGGAGACCTGGCACAGTCTCAGCAGAGGGGAAGCGGGATCTCAGGGCCATCCACTCCTAAGTGCTTGTGAGGGGTAAGTGTGTAGTGCCCAGGATGCATGGGGCCATCGCCTGGCTGGACTGTGGGCAGATCCTTGGCCTGGTCAGGCATATTCCAGCCTAGGCTGACAAGGGGGTGTGTGGGTGGAGCTGTGCCCAGGCGCGCCCCATGGATTCTGCCTGAGGGCCAGGACAGCTGAACTTGCTAGTGCTTTGATCTTTGTGGGCTTCCGGCTGATTGGAGTCTAGAGTCAGAGCCCACACTTCAGAAGCTGGAGCAGCCCAGTTCCCTCGCTCACACCCAGAGAGGCCCCACCCCTGCCCTGATGTGAGGAAAGGCACCAGGGTTCATTCCTACTCATTCTCTGCTTTGCAAGAGCTGGATAAGCAGGGAAGGACACAGAGCACTGTGTGCTTCCTGCCTGCTGCAAGCAGGAGGGGGGCTTGGGGTTAGGGGTGAGAGTGGAGGGGAAAGGACACTGAGAAGTGCTGCTAGAGTTCAGAAAGCTGATCCACAGTGGGCTGCGGCGCAGTCACCATGGGAGGCGACAAGACTGGCTGGCGAGGGCTCTCCTGTTGGCACACACACCAAGAAGGCAAGGCCTGGTGCCAGCAGTGAATGGCATAAGGACGGCACACAGGCCCGGGCGCCCCCTGCAGCCTCTTCCCGTGCTGTCGCCTCAGAAGAGGCTTTCGGGGTATGGCCCACAGTGGTCCCCAAAGCCCCTCCCACTTCCCTCACAGCCTTCTGCTGTGCTGTTCTGGCATTTACTTTCCTCAGTGTCAGCCTCTTCCACCATCTCCAATCCTCGCTTTCTGTCTTCTAAACAAGTTTCTAAAAGATCAAGTGCTTCCTCCTCCGTGCTTCTGGAAGATCCTCATCTCTTCCTGGCTAACTTCTTTCTTAACATAGCTGCAGGGGCCCTCTGTGGGGTATTGCTGACAGGTTCTAACAGAGGCCACAGCCAGGCTGTGCAGAACCCTGTGTTCATGGAGGTTTGGCCTGGGATAATACACAGCCCCCTCCCCCCATGCTATCCTGAGCCAGTTTTGGGTTTCCTGGTGCTGCTTCATGAACAGTAAGTCGATCCTGGAGGCACTGGGCCGTGCCAGGGCCAGGCAGGAAGAGGACCACTGGGGCATCACCAGCACCTCCCAGGCCCTCTAAGGAAGGGCTGTTCCTGCTGCAGGCTTGGGCAACACACAGGCTTGGGTGTGGCCTCCCCTGACCTGAGACGGGAAGAGGGCAGAGTGGGCGGGTGGGCCTGTAGATGCCCCAAAAGCAGCAGTCTGCATTAGCCCTAGGCAACTGAACAACTGCCCATTGACCAGGAAAACCCTTCCAGGGGGCCAAATGCCACATTCCCTTTGTGCTGTAAATGGATCTATTCACAGCACAGGCCCCTTGGGACTGCACACACCTGACACTTGCATTTGAGAGGAGATTCCACAAAAGCCATGAATAGCTTGGAGGGGAAACTGCACATGTCGGTATGTTTCCAGTGGTCCTCATGTGCGACAGGCCTGTCTCCAGACCCAGGGATCCAGGACAACTGTTCCAAGGCAATTGCCCTTTCCAGATCAAAGCGTACCAATTAGCTCTGTGCCCTTGGCAGGCCTCTCACAGCACCGGGGCAGCACCCCGCCCACCTGGGTGTGTGGACACACTGCTCCACTTCCCTCCTGTGAATGCCCCTCTGCCTGCAGCTCCAAGTGTCTCTCCTGGACTCAGGCTATCACCGTTCCCTTCAGACATTTCCCAGCTGGCTCCATATGACCCTCTATCCTCTCAGGAGTGGCTGGGCACAGATGGACTGCCAGATCCCAGCAGGGGCCGTGGCAGGTACTGGTTGAGGGACTTGGGGGAGGTAGACAAAGTGCTCCAAAGAGGGACCCAAAGGCTGGAGGGGCATCAAGCACCAAGGCCAAGTGCCTTTGGGAGAGGCACATCCTGCAAGGGCCCAGGCCCAGTTGTCAGAGGCACAGGCTGCCCTTCTTAGGTGCTGTTGACAAAGCCTGCTTCCAGATGGCAGGGACACCTACCTCAGAGATGGCACTTACCCTGTTAGCCAGCAGCCACTGCAGCTGGAGCTCTCAATCTCAGGGTCTATTCTTGGAGGATCTCCAGTTCCCAAACCCTCCCTCTCCTCACATCAATCTCTGCAATTCTAAGAGAGAGGGTGGCATGGGGCCATGGATAAGAGTTTTTTCCCCCACTGAGCCATTCCTAACCCCACTCAGTGCCCATAAGACGGGGCAGGGAGCACAGCCCTCGGGTGTCTTTCATCTTCTTTTAAAGTGTAGACACCTTGAGGAGGGAGCTCAGGTCCCATGCTGCCTGAAGGCTAAACCACAGTATTTATACTCTCTGTTCTGAACTGAGAGTCAGCTGAGCTAATCAGGGAAAGACCAGGCCTGGCTCAGCTGCCACAGGACCACGTGCTGCTCAGGGGCAAGGCCAGATAAACCCAATCCAATAAGTAGTTATTGAGTGTCTATCAAATCTTTCAGTAGAATTTGTTGTATGAATAAATGAATGGATGTTTTATGTGACCACTCCTCAAGTTTCCTCTGCAGGTCATTGAGCTATAGAAAAGAAGAATCGAGAAAGAAGCCTGTGGTAGAAGGTGTCAGGTTTGACATAAGTGAGGGTTACTTCTCAAGCCCTCCCAGTCCGGAGGAGGGCTATCCTAGTCCAGCACTCAGAGAGCAAAGCTCCAGGGTCAGCACAGAGTGCCAACTCTCTCCACGCTTTGCTAATACCCAGGAGCCCACACTTGTATGGGACCAGGCCAACCCTCAAGATAACCTGAGAATTCTCCCTGTTTGGCCCTGTTCCTAACAATAAAGACCAGGAGCAACTGATCTGTGTGTGAACAAAATAGAGAACAAATAAGAAAGACTCAATGTACACTAAACCTACCCACCACCCAACAGTCATCTAGAATGCACCTGAGCCCAGTGCCAGCCATGATCATCTCTGCCATCTCAGCCCCACTGTCCTGGCACCCCCATTGCTAGATTAGAGGGAGAGATGCAGAGAGGGCTGGGCTCCAGGGCCTTGAGTCTCTCTCCTAAGTGCAGCTGATGAAGCAGGAGGGATCCAGGCTATGCCTGCCCCTGCAGCATGGCACCCTCTCCCAGTCTGTAGGAGGGCATTCCCCGAAAAGGCTGAGGCAGAGGGAGAGGCAGGAGAGGTCAGAGGAGAACCACAGGAGAGGTCGACCCAGCAGCCTTGAGCCTGAAGAGGGACCTTGTATCCTAGGCATGGTGGAGTTTTTAGTCACTCACAAGGGGATTACGGTCATCTTGTTGACTCTGACCCTTGAGTTTCTTCTTAAAGATGGAAATTGAAGTAGAAGGTTTATAAAAAATGCTCCAGATTTCTCCCGAAGCCCCTGGTTGACGACAATCCCTAAAGTCCCCCGAAGCAGGCACACGATGGGCTCTGTCAAACAGAAATAATGTAATTTTTCTAGATCAGAACAAAGATTCAAAACACCCTGCCATCTCATGAGACACCGTACCTATGAAATGGGATGCTCAGGGGGCGAGGTCTTGGGAAAGACCTAATAATTGCCTTTAAAGAGCTGAAGGAGCCGGGCTCGGTGGCTCAGCCTGTAGTCCCGTACCTTGGGAGGCTGAGGTGAGTGGATTGCCTGAGCCTGTGGGTTCGAGACCCGCCTGGGCAACTTCGGGAGACCTCATCTCTACAATAAATCAAAAAATTAGCCGGGCGTGGTAATGCGTGCCTGTAGTTCCAGCTACTTGGAAGACTGAGGAGGAAGGATCGCCGGAGTCCAGCAGGTAGAGGCTGTGCTGGCCGGGAATGTGCCACTGCACTCCAGTCTGGGCGACAGAGTGAGACTCCAACTCGGAAATAAATAAGTAAAGAGCTGAAGGACTACTGTGCGAATGAAATGTGGCCTGTGGGCATCAGGGGCTGACGGGGGAGTGCAGCCAGGCAGATTCCATCTCAGAATAACAAAGAACATTTTAACCAAGAATTATTCAAATCTGAAAAAGGCTGGCCTGAGAGATTATAAGTTTTTAATTTTTAAAAAATAACTGTCTACAAAGGCCATTTACCTAGAAGCTCACTTAGCTAAAACATAAGGATTATGACAAAATTTGTCTTTATTGTGAAGTAGAGACCTGCCTAACCTCCAGCAGTGGCCCAATGGCTGCTTAGCAGGGAAGCTGCGGAGGGACTCTGATGTCGGAAGAGAGCTGGGAATTAACTTTAGGGCCTCAGCCATGCTGGGAGATGCTAGACCCTACAGAAAGCTTTCTACTCTTTTAATGCTACATGCGATGTGGACAGGATTGTCCCTGACAGGTTTCCTCTGAACACATGACTTGTGACTTAAAAAACAAACAAAATAGCTCAGCCTGTAATCCCAGCACTTTGGGAGGCTGAGACAAGTAGATTGCCCGAGACCACGGGTTTGAGACTAGCCTGGGCAAATTGGTGAGACCTCATCTCTACAATAAATAAAAAATTAGCTAGGTGTGGTAGTGTGCACCTGTAGTTCCGGCTACTTGGAAGGCTGAGGCAAAAGGATCACTGGAGCCCAGCAGGTTGATGCTGGGGTAGCCATGAGTGTGCCACTGCGCTCCAGCCTGGGCAACAGAGTGAGACTCCAACTCAAAATAAACAAACAAAATATATATAGCATGAAAGTGAACTCAGTCAACAATAATAAAGGCATTGTTTCCACTGAAAAATTTCAAGTGTAGGGTGGGGATGTCTATAAAAGATGGTCCCAACATGGCCAAAGGCAGCCTTCACAGGACAATGGAAGAGCCTGCATTTAATGTATAAAAAAGTTTGTAGCAAAAGGCAAATGAGAAGGTCAGGAAAAAGGGATTTTTAGGAAGGCCACAAAATGGAAAGAGCCTGGACTAGAAACCACAGGAAAGTCAGAGTAGGAGTTTAGAAGAAACTAGGAAGTACTCCTCTCTATAAGTACATAAACATCAGTAGCATAAACAATTGCCCCTTTCCTGGAAGGTGGAATTGTTAAATGGCCAGCAAAATAAGAGGAGGAAATTATTATTAATTTTTCCCCAAATTGGTCAGAATTATAGGATGAAGCTTCTATAAGCTTTTTAAATAATTTTTTTTTTGAGTCAGTCTCACTCTGTCACCCAAACTGGAGTACAGTGGCATGCTCACGGCTACCACAGCCTCAACCTACTGGGCTCAGGCAATCCTTCCACCTCAGCCTTTCAAGTAGCTAGAACCACAGGCGTGCGCCACCATACCTGGCTAACTTTTTGATTTATTGTAGAGATAAGATCTCGCCATGCTGCCAAGGCTGGTCTCAAACCTCTGGGCTCAGGTAATCCTCTCACTTTGGCCTCCCAAAGAATTACAGGTGTGAGCCACTGCACCCAGCAATAATTATTTTAAAATAATTATTAAGCAACAGTTAATAAAATACTAGAATTATCTTCCTAAGGATGTTTCCCAGTTTCTAGAAGGCACCAGGAAATATGCATGGCATTGTCCTAGGAATTTGTACTCTCATATAAAGATCACTGTAAGGGATTAGCACAAGCCAAAAAAATGGAAATTGTTCCTTTTTAAGCCAGGAATGTTTCAAACCTCCTTGATATCTTATCCTTTGGACACAAGAGCAAACACAATTCTCAAACCTTAATGAGATTTGTCCAGTTGTACACTGCACTCTTCAGAGAGGAAGGAATGTCTATTGCTTTATGTTAGCTAGGACTGAGAGCTTTGGAATCATGTTCTGATACTACAATTGTACCCAGATAAATGAAGCATAGTAGAAAAGGAATGCTGAGTCTTCCCCTTCTGGGAATCAGGCAGTTCTCTCTTGTACTCACTTGAATGTGATGTGTAGAAGTATCTTTGCTACAATGGCTGTGACTGTGAGGATGAGGAGAGTTGCCAGGCCATATACTGTCCATCCTGCAAATACAAAAGACAGAGTTTACCACATTTGCTTATGCTTGGTTTTCAAAAAGAGATCTGCAAAAGCCCCAAGTGAACAGTGGTAGCTCAGAGATGTAGGTCAGGCTGAGGGGCTCCCTGCAGGCATGGGTAGCCAGCAAGTGTGGTGGCAAGAGTAGCTGAGAGCTGAGCTGAGCATGGAGTCCCAGGTGTTCTGAGTACCTCATCTTGTTTTAGAAGCCCCCTTGGGGAGAGGCAGGTGGTATGATCCAAAGTACACTGGGTGTGTGTGTATCTGCCTCTACCTGGAACCACTGTGCAATCACAAATGAGTTATATGGGCTTCAGTTTCCTAACCTGAGAAATGAGATGTATGACCTACGAAATGCTGCTGGGATCCACAGCCAAATGATGCAGAGCAAGTACTGGAGAGTTCCTCTTTCCTGACCTTCTCTGGTGGGTCTTGCAGGGGACCCAGAGAGCAGTTTGAAAGCCTCTAGGTTAGGGCACTGCTGATAGTACTATCCAACAAAACCAGCTCATAAAGGTGCTACTTCCTTGGCAGCAAAGAGGGACTGAAGAAGTATGTACCTAACCAAGTCAGCCAGCTTAAACCACACACACAAAAAAATCACACCCACTCTCTAGCCTCCTCCTGCATGATTTTTCTTCATAGCTCTTATTATCTGACTCTTAATTTCTCTTCTTGTTTTTCTCCTTCCACTTATAAGCCACAGAAAGGCAGGAATTGTATTTGGTTTACTGTATAACCTAGTGCCTAGAACACTGCCTGGCACTATGGAAGCACTTACATATCTTTTGACTGAATGAACAAATGAATGAATGGATGGATGCATGAATGAATGAATGAATGGAGTTCTTGCAAATGCCAATAAATTTAGGGAACTACAACTTGGGGCTCTAGAAAGATAATCTCAGTGTGAGAAGACACTGGATTAGCTGATTAATCACAGTGTATGAAAGGCACACGTGCTGGATCTTTGGAGGTGAGCACTTCCTCCTAAGGACTAAGGAACCAAGCTAATGAGAAGATTTTCCTCAAAGGCCAGGACAGAATATATACAGAGCCAGTACCCCAATCTGCCTCCGAATGAGAAACACTCAAGAGTGCTTTTGTTTCTGCAAGTGTCAAGAGCACTACCTTCAACTCTGTGGCTTCCAGCCCCTACAGATGGTGCCCAGGAATTGCTACCTGGGACAGTCTGAGGTGGGTGACTGGGGCTGGTGGTGATGACATAGAGGACTTTGGAGGACCGGGCAGCACTGATGCTGAGGTTGGCCTGCTCCGTGATCACCTCGGCCAGCGTCTGGTTGATAGTGGGTCTCTCTTGTGGCGGTTCTTCCTTGATGGCTGAAAGATCAAAAGGAATGAACTGGGGAGAGAGAGCTATGGAGACCACAAAGAGCTGTGCAGGAGGACAGCACTGGTAATGAAGAAAAGGCCTTTTTCTCTGATTTAATTCTGGGTGCAATCCCTCCCATGGCTACCACTAGTCCCAAAGCAGAACCTGTCAGGCTCTGACCCTGCAGGAGGCAGAAGGATACAACTATCAACTTCTAATTATGTGACTGGTCTTTTCTTGGACACCTGGGCATGATTTACAGTTTCCCTACTCTTGTACTTTGCAGCTACTCTGCCTAAAGGCCCTTTTCCTTTCTACTGATTCAAACCCTACCTATTCTACAAGAGCGTCCCACCTACAGGAGAGGCTTCTTCCCACTGGCCTCTTGTTGCACATGCCACCTGAACTCTCCCTGAAGTTTGCTATCCAGGACAAAGACTAGATCTCAGACAACTTCTGTGCTTCTCATGTGCTGGCAAAGAGATATACTCGGCACACGTGTTCACACTGAAGGGCAGAGAGTATGGCTTCACCTTAGGAGGGTTTCAGTAAATCAGTCTTTTAGAATTAGCTGGGATGCTCAAGGCAGGAGGATGGATCAAATGACCTCTTAAGAGCTTTCCAATTTTACCAATTTCAGCTCTTTCTAGTTATTCTTTTAACCCTCTAATGAAAACTGTTATTAGAACTACCAAAGTAGCAAAACTGGCAGGTTTTTGCCTCTTTTCTGTAACATGAAACATAAACAAGTTATGAAATGAGAGGTGGGGAAAGAGTTGTGGCCTTGGGGTAATCTGCAAGTTGAGTCAGTGGCTCCTGACTCTAGTCTGCCCAGCGACAACTGCCCGAGGGTCAAAAGTCAAAACAATGAGGAAGTGAAGCCTGAGGCACACAGGCCCTGAAGAGCCCCCAAGGAAGTGAAGATGTCTTACCTTGATATAAGACAGCGAATCCCTGGGCCTGATTGACACGATCAGAGAAGAAATACAAGATGACAAAGTCCAGAGAGACATTGAAGGACAGAGGTGGGTGGCTCCTCCCATGGAAGCGGGCCAGGACATGGTGGGTATAGCCGTCCAGAAGCTCTACCATGTCTGCCGAGTCCCTGATGTCAAACAGGGGGAAGCTGAAGTGGATGCGGGAGGCCCCGGGAACCCGGATGGTCCAGTAGCAGACCCTCCCCGTGGCATAGGTATCGGGGAAGTCGGGGGAATAGACCACAGAAGTCATGGCTGAGTAGTTCCCGCCACAGGCACCGATGAGAGCTGTAGAAGACAAAAAGACACCAGGCCCTCAGCTGGGGCCTCGACCACGGGCATGCTTCCAAATGACAAGCATACAAAACGCTTCCTAACAAATGAGATCCCGTTCCCGTTCAGGCTATTGTTTCTATCTATGAAACCAGACAGTCTTATGTTTCAGGATCGAGTCACAAGATGAGAGGCTTAATCCCTGGACAAATGACTATGGAGATTTTTTTTTTTGCCCAAGAGACCTTAGAATTAGCACACAGCACAGTGGTGTGGCCTAGGTTGGGGCCAAGCTGGAGTCAGAGAGTCTGGATGTGGTACTGGCGGGGCCGAGTCCCAGGGGCTACCGTTCACTTGCAGGCCTCTGGCTTCTCTCAGTTTCAAGGCTCTGGAGACCACCACCTGCTCCTGTACCATGTGAGTGTGTGACGGCAGATGAGACAAAGCACATGAACCACTTGGGCTTCTCTGCAGGGGAGGCACTCAATGAGCTAAAGGCAACAAAAGAGAAGGGCTTTACAGCTGCTTGGACAACCTCCTTACCTTGGAGAAGGGGACAAAACTCCCATGAGGAGTTGTTTTTAAAGCAGGAAACTGTGGCACAAGAAATAACCTTTTGCGGGGGTGGGGGGGAGAACAGATTCTGATTGCTTTTCTACTGAGTGCATTTGATTTCTCTGGACTCCCATTTTTGATAGGCAGGTACTAGAAAGGGGATACAAATTATTTCCTGTCTTGTATGGTGAAAAGTAAACAAGATCTTGGAAATGACAATCTTTGGAAGGGAGATTAGGACTTAAAAAGCAGGCTTTGGGGGCATTTTGCTTCCCTTCAAGATGTAGAAGGCAACAAGAGATTGCTGCCACCATCCTAACAATAAGAAAAAGCTCAAAACTCAGAACCTTGGTCTCGTGATAACCAAATAAATTAAATTCTAAAAGAAACCCCTCCAGGAAGAGATAGGCCTTACAAATGGTTTATCTTTGACACAGCACAGGAGGAAAGAATGATTGCCATATTAGTGAATAAGAAGAAAGCAGTTAACATCTTAATAAATTCCTTTTTTTTTTTTTTTGGCCTCCTCTCATTCCCTGTCTCCCTCTGTCATCCTGTCCCCACCCCTTCCCTGCTAGCCATACCTTATTCTCTCTCTCCTCCAATTTTTTTTTTTAAATTGTAGAGATGAGGACTTGCCAAGTTGCACGGGTTCAAGCAATCCACTTGCCTCGGCCTCTCAAAGTGCTGGGATTACAGGCTGAGTCACTAAGAATTTAACAAAATTCTTTTTTTTTTTTTTTGAGCTGGAGTCTTACTCCGTTTCCCAGACTGGAGTGTAGTAGCACGCTCACGGCCACCCCAGCGTCAACATCCTTCCAACTCAGCCTTCCAAGTAGCCAGAACTATCATGCCCAGTTTATTATTATTATTATTATTTTTTTTAATTTATTGTAGAGATGAGGTCTTGCCAAGCTGCCCGGGCTGGTCATGAATCTTTTTTTTTCTTTTTGAGACATGGTTTCATTCTGTCACCCAGACTGGAGTGCAGTGGCATGATCATGGCTCACTGCAGCCTTGAGCTCCCAGGCTCAGGTGATTCTTCTGCCTTAGCCTCCCAAGTAGCTGGGACTACAGGCATGTGCCGCCATGCCCAGCTAATTTATTTTTATTTCTTTTGTAGAGATGAGGTTTTGCTATATTGCCTAGGTTGGTCTCAAACTCCTGGGCTCAAGCAATCTTCCTCTCGAAGTGCTGGGAGTACAGGCATGAGCTACTGCACTCAGCCAACACATTCTTTTTTTTTTTTTATCAATATTTTTTATTTTGATATTGTGGGGTACAGTAAGGGTTAGGTATACAAATATGCTTCGTTCAGGCACCCTTGTTGATAAGGGGTGTCTCCCCATCCCCAGACAGATATTGACTACCGTTAATCCCACCTCCCTTCCCCCCCCCTCCATAGTTTCCCACCACTGTCAATCCTTTTCTTATAGTATTACGATAGATGTTCAAGGTCTACTATATGAGTGAGAACATGTAATACTCAGATCTTTATTTCTGGGAGAGGTCACTCAGTATTATTCTAGTTCTATCCAGGTTGCTGTGAAATTCATGATTTTGCTCTTTTTTATGGCTGCATAGTATTCCATCATGTATATGTACCACATTTTAAAAATCCAGTCCTCTTTTGATGAACAGCATGGTTGATTCCAGGTTTTTGCTATTGTGAACAATGCTGCGATAAACACGTGTGCAGGTATCTTTTAGATAGAGTGATTTGACTTCTTCAGGGTATATTCCCAGTAGGGGGATTGCAGGGTCATATGGGAGGTCGATATTTAGAGCTTTTAGGAATTGCCACACTGTTTTCCACAGAGGTTGCACTAGTTTGCACTCCCACCAACAGTGTAGAAGTGTTCCCTTTTCACCACACCCTCTCCAGCAACTGTTATTTTTTGAGTTATTGAGAACTGCCATTCTGACTGGAGTTAGGTGGTATCTAGGTGTGGTTTTGATTTGCATCTCCTTGATGATTAGTGAGGTTGAACATTTCTTCATGTGTCTGTTGGCTGCTTGGATGTCTTCCTTTGAGAAGTATCTGTTCATATCTTTTGCCCACTTTATAATGGGGTTGTTTGTTTTTTTTTTCAGCACGTTTGAGTTCCTTGTAGATCCTTGATGTTAGGCCTTTGTCAGACATGGAGTTGGCAAATACTTTTCCCCAGTCTGTGGGCTGTATCCCTGCTCTTTTTTTTTTTTTAATATCAATATTTTTTATTTTGATATTGTGGGGTACAGTTAAGGGTTAGGTATACAAGTATGCTTTGTTCAAGCACCCTTGTTGATAAGGGGTGTCTCCCCGTCTCCCTGCTCTCTTAATGGTTTCTTTGGTTTTACAGAAGCTTGTCAGTTTAATGAGGTCCCACTTGTCTATCTTATCTTTTATGGCCTGTGGGTTTCAGGTTTTGTTCAGGAATTGTATGCCAGTTCCAATTTCCATAAGGGTGTGTCCTGCATTTTCTAAGGTTCTTATGGTTTGAGGTTTTACATTTAGGTCTCTGATCCATTTAGAGTTAATTTTTGTGTATGGGGACAGATAGGGGTCTTGTTTGAGTCTTCTGCATGTGGAACAGATTCTTAAAGGCTAAGTGGGTGTAGGCTGTCCTCTCAGTTTGGGGAGCCCTAGACACAATGTACATTTGCACTCACTTGCAAACTATGCTGCACAGGCCTCTACCCAGTGCTCCTGAGGGTAGCTGGGATTGAGCAGCAGACCAGAGTCCCCTTCAGTGGTACAGGCATGCAGGAAGTGATAGGCTGCCATTGGGAGATATGCATGAACTGCTGCCCACTCCTCAGGACCCTCCTCTCAATGAAAGTAAAAGCCATCAGTTGCTGGGGAGGAGCAGCAAACTCTCTTGCTCCCGGGGCCTTTGGAGAAGGATAGAAGTAAAACCTCTTTACCTCTATAGGACGGAGTAGGAAACTCTTCTTCCTGCCAAAATAACCAGGCAAAGATCTACTCTTCTGGGGGAAGAGCAGAAGCAAAAGTCATGGGCCCGGGTTTATTTAAGTCCTTTTGGGCCCAGGGTCCTGTGACCAACACAAAGCAGAGGTCTGCTACCCCGGGGGAGGGGCAGAAAAGTCTTTCCCAGGATCTACCACAGTCACAAGGCAGTGTTTGGCTGCCAGGGAGAGAAGGAGAGTGCAGAAATGCTGAAAAGTCTCACTCCTGTGGCCCAGTAATAAATCCTAAGACTGAGGATGGGGAAGGAGAACCAAGAACCGTCTTGACCTCACCCACAAGCATAAAACCAAGTAACTAGCAACAGCAGTCTGCCATTGGGGGGGGGAAGGGTAAAGAAAGAGTCCCGCCAGGCTCGGTGGCTCAGCCTGTAATCCCGCGCCTTTGGGAGGCTGAGGTGAGTTGATTGCCTGAGCCCGCGGGTTTGAGACCCGCCTGGGTAGCGAGATCTCATCTCTACAATAAATCAAAAAATCAGCCAGGCGTGGTAGCGCATGCCTGTAATTTCGGCTACTCGGAAGGCTGAGGCGGAAGGATCGCTGGAGCCCAGCAGGTCGAGGCTGCGGTGGCTGGGAGCGGCCACTGCACTCCAGTCTGGGCGACAGAGTGAGACTCCAACTGAAAAAAAAAAGCTGGGCACAGTGGCTTAAGTCTGTAACCCCAACACTTTGGGAGGCCGATGCGAGAGGACTGCCTGAGCTCAGGGGTTTGAGATCAGCCTGGGCAACTTGGTGAGAACTCATCTCTACAATAAATAAAAAAATTAACTGGGTGTGGTGGCACACGCCTGTAGTTCTAGCTACTTGGAAGGCTGAGGTAGAGGAATTGCCTGAGCCCAGCAGGTCAAAGCTGCGGTGGCCGTGAGCACTCCAGCCTGGGCAACACAGTGAGACTGTGACTCAAAAAAACAAATAATGTAAAAGTATGTGTAGCTGGAGAGGATGAGAAGCATCTGGAAATCTTATATGTTGTTGCTTGGAATGCACAATGGTGCAGTCATGTGTAAAAACAGTTAGCAGTGTCTTATAATGGCAATCCTATCCCTAGATATTTACCTAAGAGAAATGACAACATATATCTACATAAGCACCTGTACATGAGTGCTTATAGCAGCTTTATTACAGGCAGATCAGTGCTTATCCATTGGTGAACGGATGAACAAATTGCAGCACATTTGTGCAAAGGAATCCTTCTTAGCAAGAAAAAGGAACAAACTACTAATATATCCAACAACGTGCTTTTAATGCAATCTTAAAAGCATTATTCTAAGTGAAAGACAGGCACACATGGCTAAATACTGTAATTCCATTCGTGTGACATTTTACAAAACACAAAACTATTTGGACAGAATACAGATCAGTGGTTGCTGAGGACTAGGGTGGGGGAAGAGAACTGACCACAAAGGAGTATAGGGAAAATTCCGAGGTGATATAAACATCCTATATCTTGACTCAGTAAGTGCTGGCTATTCTATTATTACTATTATTTGAAA